TAAAAAAAAAAACCAAAAAAAAAAAAAAAAACCCCAAAAAAACAAAAAACCAAAAAAACAAAACAACCCAAAAACTGTGGGAGGAGGTTGGATAAAGAAGCATAAATTACTTAAGTGATAAGAGAATTACCATATTTTCTGGATTCAAATATATCACTTACTGTTATAGTACACTACTTTTTTGGGGGGGGGGCACCAGGGATCAAACTCAGATTCTTGTGCTTGTGAGGCAGGCAGTCGCACCACTGAGCTAAATACCCAGCCCAGTACACTATTCATTTTAAAGAAAATTGGGGATGAATGAAGAAAAATAATACTAATGTATCTGTATATATTCACTGTAAAACAAACTGTTTATGCCTTAGCATTAAATTTGGTAACATGAGTTCATAAAGTATTTTTCAATGAAATTCACTAGTTTGTTTGTTTACCACTGATTCTTAAATTTGCTCTCCCAAGTCAGTCCTGCAGAGTGATTGACCAGACTGATTTGCTTTAACTCTTCTTTCCTAATTCTCCCTGATTAAAGGGAAACGACCAGCACATAAAAAGGGCAAATGAAGACAAGCTTATCAACCTGTCATAATGAAGAGATGTGCTGCTCAGCAAGGCTGTGATTGAAAACAGTAAATTCTGAAAGTCTCTCGTGCTTAGAAAATTGCAACTTTTGGTCTGTGCTGTGTTTTAATCAGAATTAGCTGTATTTTAAGCATGTTTTAAGAAATAAACCACTGCAAATTCATCTTTATACCACAATTTTGTTTTTCCTTTGATACTTTTAGTCTTACAAAATTAAATGAAAGCACCATGATTCAAAAAAAGAAAATGAGAAAGAATATTCTTGGATATAATTGAGTCATGTTCAGGGTAAAATAATATGCTCTCATATTACTTAAGAGTGGAGATAACAATAAATATGCAGAAAGGATCTTTTCCAGCTTACTACCTGAGACTCTAAACATGTACATTAGAGCAGTCACTTCTTGCTAAGTGATGCTGAACTACTAATTACAAAGCATAGTCTGACCAAAGAGTACTGTAAAAACTCTCCAAAACTATCATCTACAATCTGTGTGTGTATGTGTGTGTGTTGCTGAGGATTAAACCCAGGGCCTTGCACCTGCCAGGTAAGCACTGTACCACTAGTTATACCCCCAGACTCTAAAGTACCTACAATTTTGATAAACCAGAAGGTGGCCATATCATTACCAGTTCCTAAATCTAGAAATAAATACACACACACATCTTTTCTTTTAGTCTCACTGTGTAGTTCAGGCTGACCATTTACTTGCAGCAGTCCTGTCTCAGCCTCTCAAGTGCTGGGATTACAGGTGTGCACCACCACAGCCAGCTCTTAGAACTATAACAACTACCTCTGTAAACAAATCTACTAAAGCAAGACAGGAGAAATCTATAGGAAGCCTGTGGGTACACACTACCTGCTTGTCTGTCACTTGTGTGTTGGTCTTTCTGTTTATGAGGCTGTAGATCCATATCTTCATCATCTTCATAGCTCCTCTTGTGACGACTAGGAGTGTAGGATGTCGAGGGACTGACTCGAGCTTGGTTTGCATTAACATAGGCGTTAAATAAAAGGTTAAGAAAAAACTATCATGAGCTTGAGGAATATCCTAAATTATGCTAATTATACGACTAATAAAAAATTACTAGTTTGGCAATTTATTAAAAATAAAGTATTTTCTAAAGGAGGCCAGATCCCCAGTTTTGGTCATGAAAAGTAACAGGCATCACTCTTACGCTTCCTATGATCACTGTAAACAACATAAAATTGGACAAAGAAAGTGAAGCAACTGCTTTCAGGGACTGGACACCATGGAGCAGAAAGTGACAATCAGGGAATGAGGAGATGCACACCAAGGCAAGCCTATATCCTCCCAATTCTGGGAGAAGCATCTTCCAAAGTGCAGCAACTCACTCTTGTTGGAGAAAATACAGCATGTAGTTCAGGGTCACTGAAGCAACTACAATTTGCAAAAAAGTAAAAGGCAGATGAAGACAGAAGACCTAGAAATTTGTGCAGGTTGTACCTGTATTTTTGGCCAAATGATTCCTTGAGGCTTAGCAGAGAACAGCTGCTGATGAGAAAGGAATTAATTGAAGCTGTGGGAAGTGCTACAACTGGACTTGCTGAATCTCCCAGGCATTTAGATTTCATAAGGACTGTCTTATACAGCAAGGGCTAGCTTCTCCATATCCCCTTAACAAATCCCCAAACCATGACTTCACAAGATCAAATGCTCCAGTAAATTACTTGTCACAAACGAATGCAGGGCGAGGGATTTAGCTTAGCAGCACTGTGCCTGCCTTGTAGCACTAGGTCCTGAGTTCAATCCTCAGTACAAAAACAAAATAAAACAAAATAAATGCAACTTTCTTTCTTGGGGGGGGGTGTGATACCAGGAATTGAACTCAGGACCTTGCACTTGTGAAGCAGGTGGCAGCGCCACTGAGCTAAATCCGTGGCCTGCAACATTCTTTTTTAGTGGGGGGGGGGGTCTCTCCTATGTGGCGTAAGCTCATCTCTAACTACTGGGCTCAAGTTATTCTGCCCACTTTAGCCTCCCATATAGTGAGGACTACAGGCATTCAACATTCTTTTTTTAATTTTCTCATCTTTTGTTTTTGTAGTGCAGGCTGGTCTTGAACTTGCAGTGATTCTCCTGCCTCAGCCTCCTGATTGCTGAGAGTACAGGCCTACACCATCACCACCAACCCAACACTCCTCGAGACAGAAAGCTAAACTCTCCAAAGTGTTGTTTACCAGCACATAATACACTATTAGTAGTTATGAAAAGATTAGAATCAATCAGAATTAGCAGATAAAAAACACAATTATAATTCACAACTTCAAGAGAAAAGACAGATATAGTGAGTAAACAAATAGGAAAATTAGCAGAGAAATGCTAACAATGAAAAACCAAAATGAAAAATCTTAATCTGAAAATATCTGAAATGAAAAAGAAACACTGAATAGGATTGATGGCAAAATGAAGTTCAGAGAAAAAAGTCAGTGAACTTGAACACAAGGCTAGAAGCCAAAGAAAGATATTAAAAGTAGCCAAAGGAAACAAAAGGCCTTAAACAGGGAAACAGTAAAAATAGTGATTAGCCTTTTATCAAAAAATAACAGTGGCCAAAGGACAAAGGTATATCACTAAAACATGGGGAAGGGGACTGGGTGTGGTGGTGGATTACACCTGAAATCCAAGCACTAGGGAGGCTGAGGCAGGTGGATTGCTATGAGGTCCAGGCCAACCGAGGCTGTGTAGTAAGTTCAAGGCCAGCCTGAGCTAGAAGCAAGACCCTGTCTCAAAAGACAAACCAAACCAACCAAACAAACCCCCGCTTAACCTGTGCATTTCAGTGTATATGAGCCATGACTAAAAAATTATACACTTAAAAAATATATATATATACCAAATGACTAAATAAAATGGAGACATATTTCCATAGTCTTCTTTCAAAAGAACATGTTGAAGTCTGGGGATTTAGCTCAGTGGTTCCGCTGCCTACCTCAAAAGCTCAAGGTCCTGAGTTTGATCTCCAGTACAAAAAAAAAAAAGAACATGTTTTCCTTAAGAAAACCAAAATGAGGGCCATGGATGTAGCTCAGGGGCACAGTGCCTGCCTGGCAAGCATGAGGCCCTGAGTTTGATTCCCAGTACAAAAAAAAAAAAAGAATTCTAATTTAAAACTGTATTTTAACCTATCATGATATTATTTCATTATCTATGAATCTACCCAAATCTTTTATTTGATTGACTGACTGACTGACTGTGGTACTGGGGATTGAACCTAGGGCCTCACACTGAGCTACACCCCCATCCTTTTTATTTTGACACAGGGTCTCACTAAGTTGCCCAGACTGGCCTCATATTTATAATTTTCCTGCCTCAGCTTCGCAAGCAGCTAAGATTATAAGCATGTACCACCACATCTGGGTAACTCAATCTTTTTCACAGTACTTAAACTATAAGACTGCAGAAGAATTTTAGCTTTTCTTGATGAGTATTAGCTTCTTATATATTTTATTAAAATAAAATGAAGCTTTGTAAATGAAGAATGATTTTTTTCAAGCTAGCTTTACTAGCATTAAGATAAGCAGAAACTTGAAATCTGAACTGTGGTCTTTTTCATTAAAAAAAAATTAGGAATGATTCAACACACGTTTCAGATAAAGGATATTTCTTTTACCCACACAGATTCCCCAGGCACTGGAACACAGTAGAAAGTCTGTCTTTCCAAAGTGGTAGATCGTGGAGAATTTATATCAAGTTCTTGTTGAGGCTGTGATACACACAAATATACTTTTATTAAGAAAAAAAATTTTTAAATCAGCAAATATATTTCCATGTTTATAAAACCATACTATATATGTTGCCTCAAAAGTTAATTAACAAGCAACTAGTTCCTACCTTTTTTGTGGGGGGGTACCAGGGATTGAGCGTATAACCTTGCGCTTGTGAAGCAGGCGGTGGCACCACTGAGCTAAATCCCTGGCCCTTTAAAATGGTAGTTCCTACCATTTCAAAAATAAACTGGTAAAATAATTTCAAATGAAATAAAACACTACCTCCCTATGATCCATAGTACATAGTACCCGAGGTTACAAATGGAAAATTGGGGGGGGGGCAGTACTAAGGATTGAACTCAAGGCCTTCACACTGAGCTACTACCCTTACCCTTTTTTAATTTTAATTACATGTAAGGATTTCTTTTTGGGGGGGGGTTACTGGGGATTGAACTTGGGATCTTGTGCTTGCGAGGCAGGCAGTAGAACCACTGAGCTAAATCCCCAGCTATTTTTTATTTTGAGACAGATAGGGCTAGAACTTGCAATCTTCCTGCAGCAGAAAAAGATAAAGCACATGGTGCTCCCACTGTCTCTTTCATGAAAACTCTTTCATAGAATCAACCTATGATATAGGCATTAAATACTCATCAACAGGTAGCTGAGTTTTATTTTCTCTTGAAGAGGTATATTCTCTATTCCACTTGGGCCTATGCGGTAGACAGGACCAAAGAGACAGAAAGTTGGACCATGAGATAACACACTAGTCAGGTTTTTTGTTTGGTTCTCTCTTTCTAGGTCCCAAGTCCTCCTTCCCAGGCAGGAATGGGGCTTTCATCTAGGGTCTCTTTAGCAACATACAGTTCATACATACCCTCTCTGCACCTGTGGCAGTGTTACAGAGGGACATCTTCACCTATCTTTTAGCCTGTTTCCAGATGCCAAGATCCCTGAGCTACATTACACTCTCATACACTAGAAAAAAACTACATGTTACTACAGTAGTCTAATAGGTTAGCATTCCTTAAACAAAGGATCTCAGCTAAGCATTCATAAAGTTGATCTATTAGATTTGGCACATTTACTTAATGGCAATACTCTAAAAGAAAAAAAAGACTAGGAGACTTAAAGTTTATCACCTGTGAGATTAAACAACCTATCTTTCAAATAAGTTTACTACTCTAAATAATTGTTAGAAGTTACAGCTTTGCTTAATAAAATTTTTGAAACTGTATTTCCAGATGAAGGCTATTTTGGCCACTAAAGTAGAATATTTTATTCAATCAGTTACAACTTCTCCTGAAAATTAACTGGCTGGTATTAGGGTTTATAGTTAGTCAGTCTGTCTCTTTCTGTTTCTGTCTCTCTCTGATAGTATCTTACTATGAGGGTTTATAGCCAGTCTCTTTCTCTCTCTCTGATAGTATCTTACTATGTAGTTTCACTGGCTTTGAACTCACTGTGCTGCCCAGGTTGGTCTTAAAACTTGAAACGCTCCAGCCTCAGCTTCCTGAGTGCTAGGATTATAGGTATGTGCCAACATGTCCAGCTAACTTGAAGTTTGGGTAAGTAAAAGTCAGTGTTCCAGAATGTAAACCATTCTACATAACCTGGTGAGACTAAGGTTCTATATCTACCAGCAAAGAATGAGTACAGAATGTAGCTAACCCACCTTTTACAGAGGCCCTGACTAAGCAGCTTCCTAGTCAGTTCCCACCTATGATCTTTGCTTTCTTCCCAACAGCTGACAACTAGGGTCTGTGTTTCAAGAGAAACACATGAGAAACATACTAAATTGTGGAGACATTTTTGTTTAACTCAGTTATTTTGACATACTAATTAATCTTTTTTACTATTAAACTAGAAATAAACTTTAGGTGCCAGGCATGATGAACAGGTGTCAGAATGAAACTCACTTTAATTCTTTTCTTTTCTTTTCTTTTTTTTTTTTTGGTACCGGGGATTGAACTCAGGGCGTTGCGCTTGCGAGACAAACGACAGAACCACTGAGCTAAATCCCCAGCCCAAAATTCAATTTAATTCTGCATGTTGTTCCTCTATTATCAGAAAAGCAATGCTTAAGAAACAAACAAAATGCAGATTTCCCATGGTTCCTCTTCAACTCTTTTAGTAAGTTTCTATCACTTTTCATGGCTCTGATTACATCCAAAGTTCTGCTTTTTTCTCCCTAGTACTATATATACTGAAATATAAGAAAATGTCTGTTACTTCTTTTTACCAATGAAAAGTTTATTTAAAATATGTATACATGTTTTTATGGTGGGAGTATAGATCAACAGTAGAATGTGTATTTGGATAGCACGTATGAGGCCATGGTGGCACATGCCTGTAATCCCAGGACTTGAGAGGCTAAGGCAGGGGTATTGCTGTCAATTCAAGGCCAGCCTGAACAATATAGTGAGAAGCTTGCTCAAAAAAAAAAAAAAAAAATCCATCTCCCCCAAAAATCTCCCAGGAAGATAGGATATAATTAATTTAACTGAGCAAATACTCAACTACTTTCATTTAAAAAGAAATTACATGTATTTAAAAAGAAGTATACAGATACTGGGAAAAGAAGGCAATTTTTCCGGGGATTTATTTAGCTCAGTGGTTCTGCTGCCTACCTCACAAGCAGAAGGTCCCTAGTTCAATCCCTGGTACCAAACAAACAAACAAACAAGAAAGCAAGTTTGTCATTTACAATAGACTACTTTCTAAGAGATCTTTAAAGACAAAAACATAATAAACCCACATCAGAAAAACTCAAATACAACCAAATAAGGAAAGGGCCAGGGATTTAGCTCAGTGGTTCTACCACCTGCCTTTCAAGTGCAAGGACCCAAGTTCGATCCCAGTACAAAAAAAAAAAGGGAAATATTACACATATTTTAGAACTCATTACCCACAAGATAAACAGAAGTAAAACCAAAACAATAATAAATTCTCTGCTGAGGAAAAAAATTCTTATTAAAGATGTCTTATATATCATAAAGTTACATACCCCGCACTCTGCCACATCTCTGTATTTCCCAAAATGAAGAACCTATGACCCAAAAGATAACATTATCGCATCAAGATAATACCACAAAAATACAAACAGAAAGTTTCACTAAAAAAAGCAATACATACACGAGCTTTTGTGTTTTGGTTAACCGTTTCATAAACTCCCATGTAAAACTCAGGGTCAAACATATCCTGAATCATGCAACGAAATTTCACAAAGCTGTTAGGTTTCAAATAATGAAGTGGAACTTCATTCAGTGATGGTACCTTAAAAGAAAATACTCAAGTCAACAAAATATCCCATCTATAAAACGTAAAGTATACACACATATGTAGGCTACATATCTGGACACAAATGCATACTCCTGCTCCTCCTCTACACACAATCACACACCCCCATCAGGAAGACAAATGATCCCAACATTCAATACAATAAAACTGCTGGACAAAAGAACTTTGCGTTCTTGCAAGTTTCTGTGAAAATAATGAACTGAACATAAAATTTAGGATTTTTTTTCTTCCAGACATTTCAATACAACTAAAAGCAATAGACATTCTTACAACCAGTTTGTCACAGGAACAGTTACTGCCACCTAGAGGTACAATATGGGAACATTTAATTGCTTGAATTTATGTTGTCAAAGAAACCAAAATCTTTTAATACTACATATAAATTTAGAGAAGCTGTAGACAGTAACCTACATTTTGTTGTTGTTGTTTTGAGACAGAGACTTGCTATGTAGTGAATCTAGCCTTGAACTCACTATGTAGCCCAGACCGGCATGGAACTTGCAGCAATCCTCCTGCCTCAGCTTCCAGAGTGCTGGGATTACAGGCATGTGCCACCACACCCAGCTATCTAGGTATTTTTAAATTACATATGGGTTACTACTCTACTGTAGAGAACTGTAGCCCGCCCAACCCTCTCCCTGCAAAATACCAATAAGCTTACCCATTTAGGAGCATTATTTTCCTTCAGCTTTTCCTTGAAATATTCAATAACTTTCTTCTCCCAGTCAGGATTAACTCCATTTTGGGCTGAAAGAGAAATGCAGTTTTCAAAACTAAAGATATACTACGCAATAACAACAGACTATGTTCACGTGAGTTGTAGCGAAGCTTACTCAGTTAAAATGGAACTATAATGTGCTAAAGATGTCTGATGCACTCACAAAGTTCTCAAGATGCCTGTCCTGTGGAGGCAGGGCTGGGCCCTGTAAGTCTCCTGCAGACCCAGCCAAAAGCCTTACCACCAACACCTACACGGTGACATGAGGCCAACCCAGCCAGGCAGCACGAGCTGCCCTTTGTAAAGCACTGTTCTTCAAGATATTTTACACCCATTTAAAAAATTATAATTACCCTGAAATGAGGAGCAGAGGATGTTTTGTTTCTGTAACTTTTTACTTGGGAATAAATTCAAGATTATAAATTACATAAGTAGTACAAAGAACACCGGTATCCTTGCCTCCTTTAACATTTAGTTTCTTGTATAGGTTTTCCTGACCCATGAAGTTGTACAAATAGTGTTATTTTTACTTCTAAATATTTCAGTATATGCTTCCTAAGGAGATTATCTTGTGATCTAACCTCAGATTTTTTATCAAGTTCAGGAAATTCAAAGTCACCTAAGGAGGGACAGGGACGTAGCTTAGTGGGGCTGCCACCTGCCTCACTAGCGTTAAGGTTCCAAGTTCAATCTCCAGTACCAAAAAAGCAAACCAAACCAAAACAAAATATCACCTAAGGAGTTCTTGACCTTTAGCTTCTTTTTCAGAACTGGTCTTTGCCTAGGTAAGTAAAAATGCTTGGAAACCCTACTAAGCACGGTGTCACCAGGATGATTTCTCACAGAATTAGCTCTGTAACAAGTACAGACAAAATTCCTTTATTCTACATTTCTATAGCTTCTGTGTGATAAACACAAATAGTGGAAGTTTTAGGAAATGACACAAGTAAGTACAGTGCAGAGAAAATAGGTAGGACGCATTCACCCCTTTTTTCAGCCACAACACTGGGGACTGAACTGAAGGCACTTTACCACTGAGCCACATCCCCAGGCCCATACTTTAGTTTTTGTGGTGTGGGGGACTGACCCGAAGACTTCACACTGAGCTACATCCCCAGCCATCCCCCCATACTTTTTTTAATTTTTGAGACAAGGTCTCACAAATGTGCCCAAGATGACTTTGAACCACTATTTGTTTATTCACTTATCTATTCATCTGCTGAAGAACATTTACTGTTTCCAGGCTTTGAATACTATAACCAAAACAACTGAACATTTGTGTACATGCTTTGGTAAACATCCAGAGATGGCACAGTTGAGTATCTGGTTACATGAAATTCCTTTGTTTTTGTTGTTGTGTTTTTTTAAGACAGAGTTTCCCAATATAGCTCAGCCTGGCTTTGTACTCACTATGTAGCCCAGGCTGGCCTCAAAATTGTGGCGATCCTCTTGCCTTGGCCTCCCCAGTGCTAGGATTATAGGCTTGCATCATCATGTCCAGCATCTCATTAAATATATTAACATTCTGCCTGTTTCCAGAGTGGCTTCACCATTCCGAATTCGTACCAGCCACATATAGTAGATTAGTTGTTTGCATCCTTACAAATACTTGGTATTGTCAGTTTTACTTTTAATTTTAGTTGTTCTAATAGATAACAACTCATCATGGGTTAAATTTGCGTTTCCTGAGTAGCTAATGATACTGTTTTCAGTTTGAGTATTTATCTTTATATCCTCTCTGGTAAATGTCTATTTAAGTCTAATCTTTTGCTCCTTTTAAAACTAGGTTAATTATTATTATTTTCTTTTATATTCTGGGTATAAAAACTTTTTCCAACATATGATTTTCAAATATACCCTCCCATCTATAGCTTGTCTTTCCATTCTCCTAACAGTATTATTTCCAGGGGAAATTTTTTTTACTATTATGAGCTAATTTATAGAATGTTGTTTATTATAGTGTGCCTTTGATGCCAAGTATTAAAAACTGATCACTATACCTCAGGACACAAAAGATTTTTTCTGTTCTCTCTTTTTTTTAAGACAGGGTTGTGGCTGGTCTTGAACTCACTATGCAGCCTAGGCTGGCCTTGAACTTACAGCAGTCCTCTTGCTTCAGCCTCCCAAGTGCTGGGATTACAGGTGTGCACCACCAGGCCTGGCCTTTTTAGTCACTTCTAAAATTTTTATGGTTTTAGGTGTTGTACTTAAATCTAGGCAGGCGCAGTGCCACTGAGCTAAATCCCTAGCACCATTATATTTAAAACTATAACTCCGTGAGTTAATTTTTTTTTTTTTGACACAGGGTCTCACTTTGTAGTTCAGGCTGACCATGAACTATGTAGCCCAGGTTGGCCTTGAACTCACTGCAATCCTCCTTCCTCAGCTTCCTGAGTGCTGGGATTATAGGCATGCACCACCACGCCCGGCTGTGAGTTAATTTTTGTATAAGGTATGAGGTATAGGTTGAGACTGATTTTTGTGTTATGTTAATTATCTTTGAAAAGAATATATTTTTGCCATTGTTATCTGTTGTTCCTTTCTCAAAAAAACAGAACACAGATGAACCTCACAAAGTTTTTTGCAAAGTGAGATAAACCTGACAGAAAAATACAAATACTGCCGGGTATAGTGGGATGGTGGCACATGCCTATATCCCAGCACTCAGGAGGCTGAGACAGGAGTATCCCCATGAGTTTGAGGCCAGCCTGCACTACACAGGAGACTCTATCTCAAAAAACAAACAAAAAAAGTACAGATATTAACATGATTTTACTTATATGAGGTAACTAGAATAGGCAAATTCAGGGACAAAAAATACAGCAGAAGTTCAAGGGCAGACTAGAGGCAAGGGCTGAGGGGATGGCTATGTAATTCATCTTGGGATTCCCTGTGGTGTGGCAGACAGAATAACAGCTCCTCCAAATATGTTCACACCCCAATCCCAGAAACTGGGAATACATGTTTCACAGCAAAGGGAATTATAGCAGATGGAATTAGGGTCAATAATCAACTACTTCATAAGAGGGAGGTTACCAGGGTGGGTTAAATATAATTACAAAAGTCTTTAAATGTAGAAGGAAACAGAAGAGGAAGTTAGAAGTTAAAGTGATAAGACATTGAAAAATTTGACTTGCTGTTTTTGAAAACAGAGGGGGCCATACTCTGTGAAATGTAGGCAGACTCTGGGCCGGGGATTTAACTCAGTGGTTCAGAGGCCTGCCTCGCAAGTGCAAGGACCCAAGTTTGATCCCCGGTACCAATAAATAGATAGATAGATAGATAAATAGATAGATAGATAGATAGATAGATAGATAGAAAGAAAGAAAAAGAAAGAAATCCAATAAATAGATAGATAGATAGATAAATAGATAGATAGATAGATAGATAGATAGATAGAAAGAAAGAAAGAAAGAAAGAAAGAAAGAAAGAAATGTAGGCAGACTCAAGAAGTTAGAAACAAATTCTTCCCTACAACTTCCACATAGAAAGGCAAGCCCTACTGATAGCTTGACTTTATCCCAGTGAGACTCATCAAATGTTTAGCCTCCAGAACTGTTGACAAATTCACATCGTTTTAAGCCGTATCTGTCATAATTTGTTAGACACAAAGAGCTAATACAGAGATTTCTGAGGAATCAACCCATTCCATCTAATTGCTGAATTTATATCCATATAGCTATTCGTATCCTTTTCATGTCCATACAGTTGATAGTGGCATCATTTTTCTCATTCCTAATACTGTTATTTTGCCTTTTTTTCGTTTTGCCAGCCTGACTAGAGGGCTTATCAATTTTACTGATATAAAGGAGGGGCTGGTGATACAGCTCAGCAGTTCAGGCCCAGCATTCATGCTGCCTTGGGTTCCACTCCCAACAATGAAGGAAAAGAGGCAGGGAGGAGGGAAGCAAGGAAAGGAGAGGACAGACTAGGTTTCATCATTTTTTCTTTTTCAATTCTTGATTTCTGCTCTTTATATTATACCCTTTCTTGTGTTTTTCTGAGTTCTGTTTTATTATTCATTTCCAGATTCATATATAGAAGCTTAAATTACTGATCTGAAATCTCTTCTAATAAATGCATGTAGTGCCTCTAAACACATCTTTTTCTCTGCTTAGATGTATTAATTTATTGTATTTTCATTTTTTTTTAAAATTCATAACACTCAAAAATTTCCCAAGAGACTTTTTACTTACTTACTTACTTACTTTTTGGTACTGGGGATGAATGCAGATCCTTGCACTTGTGAAGCAGTCAGCAGAACCACTAAGCTAAATCCCTGGGCCCCAAGAAACTTTTTAAATCACAGGACTGTTGGGCTATGGATTTAGCTCCGTGCTTCTGCCACCTGCCTCACAAGCGTTAAGGTCCCAAGTTCCCCAGTACAAAAAAAAAAAAAAAAAAATCTTGGGACTGTTTAGAAGTGTTCATTCTACACTTCTGAATTTTACTGTCATCCCTGTCACTGATCAGGCGACACTCCTTGATAAGTTTGCCTATCTGAACTTTGCTGGTGTTTGGCTTATGACTGAAGAGATGACTTACCTTGCTGAATACCCTATGTGTACATACAACAGAATGCGGACTTTGATATTAGATGATCAAACGTCAATCAGGTTTGCTTGGATCTTTCAAGAACAGAAAGAGGGGTAGTTAAAATCTCTGACTCTTACTGCAAGACTGTTATCCTTTCAGTGCTGCCTTTGCTCTTTGTGTGGTACACATAACAGTATGTCTTCTTGGTGAACTGTTTATAAAGTATTTTTCATTCATGTCTCAGACCACCCTAAAAATATTTTAAAATTTAAAAAGAACCCAGACAGGTGTACTGACACAGACTTGTAATTGTAGCACCCTGGGAGGCTGAGGCAAGAGGACTGCAAGGTCAAGCACAACCTGGGTAACTTAGCAACTTAGTCTCCAAATAAAAAATTGGCTGGGGATGTAGCTCAGTGGT